CCCCAAAACCCCAAAACCCCAAAACCCCTAGTTGCATATTAGTTTGATGGAAAGATATTATGAAATAAAAATTATTGCTAGGTTGGATTAGAAAGTCAAAATAGTTTAATTCTTTGAGTTATGTCACTTGACTTAGATCTAAGATCCTTGTTAGAAGCCTGACCATCATTATTTTGGCTTAACTTGTCTGATGGTGAATTAGCTAAAGATATTTGTTCTTCTGGGTGTGTGGACTATTTTTGCAGAGGCATCATTTCATTTGCTTCAGTCTCTAGTTTCCTTGTTCTCTTTTTACCTTTAGATGCTCTCTGATTGCCACTCCTCTTCGAACTTTGAGATGCTCTTTTGTTTCTTTAATCCTTTCGTATCAACTCTTCTAGGTATTTGATGTAGTTGTCTATTCCTCCCTCTCTAATAACTAATTGATCCAGTCTAAGTTTGTTTTTAACGACAAGATGCTGATTTGCTCTCAAGAATTCCTCATGCAGAGAGTCATCAGCGTAAGGAACAATGAAGTCATAAGGCAGATGGAACTCTGCGAAGTACCATATCAAGTTCCAATAGATATTCTTGTTGTAATCTCTGAGTATCTCTGGAGTAAGTTACTCTGCATTACGATACCATTAGTCCAGCTACAATCTTTCTTCCACGTATTGTCTAAGTTAAACGGGATTGATAAAAGCAGTGTCTTCATTCTTGTATACATTTATCTAAAGTCATAATTTGAATTATTTTAATAATACTTACGTCTCCAATCCTGACTTTAAGTGACGGGAATATCTTAGCAAAGCAAGCTCTGCATTAAAACACGAAGTAGTCATCAGCTTCTTTGATTGTATGCTTCAGGATATCTTTGGGATAAAGTGTGGTTCCACATTCAGAGCACAGCTCTTTCAAAAGCATTCTGACTTTATCCGATATAAACACCTCCTGCTCATCCTTGCTCAGAAAACATCGTCTTTTAAACTAATTAGATAGTTTTTTATAAAGATAAGACCTAGTATCAAGCAGACTAGTAACCTAGTTTTGCTAGGCTTGGTACATTTGATTTAGTTTTAGTTGAGTTGAGCTGGTTCCAGTAGTTTAAGTTTAGGAAAAGTTGGAACCTTAATGCTTCAGAGGACCAGGAGAAGGTAATGCTCGCTATGATAGCTATTCTTAAGAATTGGGTTGGGGGGGCTTGCCAAGGGATCTATCTGACAGCATTGATTGCTCTGTAACAGAAAAATTCTTGTCATTTTTCTTCTGCAAATCTGACAAGTCGACGTTAATTACTGGCTTAGAATGATCTTTTTAAGTGGTTGATTTCGGTAATTCTGCTGGAGTCTGTGGAGTGCTCTTTCCAAGAGCAGTTGTGATTTTGTTGATGACTCTTTTCGCTGAGTTGAATCTTCTTTCTATTTCATTGGTCACCTTGCTTTGGATTCCAGTATTAGGTTGAATTCCAATCTCATGCTTTTCCTTGTGCTTCTTAAAGAATCTCTGAACAGTCTCCATTGCCTCCATATTCTTTGATAGTCCACTTAGGAAATAGGTCATAATAGCTGCATTTGGCTTGAATTTGAACTCCTCTATTTAGTCAAATATCTCCAAAACCATCTTTAGATTTCCATATTTGTCACATGTGTCCATCAATAGTTCGAATATTTCAAGCTAAAAATTGCTGTTATTGCTATAATATTCTTACATTAAGTTTACCACCACTCTTTGCATTGATCTTTCTTAATACTTCAATAGCTTACTTGAGTCTAAAAGACTTCTCGTTTTCCTTTTGATAGCTTAGTGTACCAACCCAGATTAGCAGCCAGCATATATGCACATTTACATCCTTGTCAAGCTCGTCAAAGTATTGTTGAACAATTTTCTTCTTTTTGCTGACCCCTTATTGCAACTGCTTTTTATTAAGGATATCTTAAAAATCTTTAAGTGAGTCAGCTTTCCAGCATTCCTCCATAAAAACATGCTTTATATACTCATTGTTGAATGTCTGTGGCATGACAATATAAACATTTGCATTGTCTTCTTGTACAAATTTCACTGGTTATAACTTTTGATCTTTGAATAGATCTTTTATCATTCTCTCGTTTAGCTCCTTGTCTGCTTTATCAAGGACATCACATTCGAAAGTAAACTAATGATTTCTAGACTAATCATTGAGAAAAAAGGTTTCTTGCTGCATCTTCGAATTTTTTTTCTGCTTGTGATACTTGTGTCTAATATGCTCGTCAAAGAAAGTTGTGTCAATGAAATCTTCATTCTTGCTGGGCCAAAGTTTTCTCTCGAGGAGTCGAGTGAACATCTAAAGTTTAAGGAAGTATTTGAAAAACATCTTGGTGTCACTTGGAGAGTCTTCAATGTACTTTTGATAGCCATAACACCCACTCACGCCTTCAACTGTTCTCTGAACATGACTAAGCATGCTGCCCTGGTTAGAACTAATGTATTTTTCATAGTTCTGGAACACATTTACAAAGAATTGAAAGAATGCATCTCTGATATTTTCAACATCTTCAATTGAAAGTCTTTACTGCTTTTTCTTTTTAGGCTTTATAATGTCTTTAAGGGTTTTTTAAAGTTTCTTGCAATAATGATCTGGGAGTTCAGGCAAGTCATCCTTTTGTTGAGGCCTTGATCTACCAGATGCTGATATGGTTACTGATGTCTTTTACTTAGAAGTTATCTATATATTTAAAAATAAGAATTCTAACCTTGTCTTGATCTAAATCAATAATGTAAGTTCCATCACTGATATTTTCTTCAGCTTCCTTTTGCAAACTTTGATCTATGCCCATTAAAAAGGGGACTGGAGCATTTCTGATATAATAATTTATGAGCTTAAAATTTACAGATAATCAATGAGAGACTCTGGTAGATAAGGCACATAGATAAACTCATACTTAAATGGAAATATGAGACTTTTTATTGCCTCTCCAACTGAGACTAGCTTAGATTACTCTCGACTTATCATTAAGTTCTATTTAGATTAGAGTTATGAAATTAAGAAAGTACATTGGAGTCAAGCAGAATTCTTTTAAAGAAAAGCAGCACATTATCAACATTAAGGCAGTCGAATAAGGTAATGATGAAGTCATTATTTGAATAAGGTAGTCTATTAATTGGAGGATTTTTGAATAGCAAATTTCTGTAAGGATGATTTCTGCAAATCAGTTTCAGATTCAGGGTAGCAATACCTCTGGGTGGAGCTGGAATAGCATAAAGTATCTAGGCGATATAGTCCTCTATGGGTGCTCTAATTCCAGTATCACAAGCTCTTTTTATATCCATAAGCATAAGTCTGAACTACTCAAAGAATGGATTCCTTGACAAAATGCACACCGACTTTTGAATGTAAAACTTGCCTTTCTAAAGCTAAACACCTTATAGAGGATTCTTTGCTGATTAATCATCTTTCAATTCTTCTAGGTTGTTTGAGTTTTCCTGATCCAGCAGAATTTCCTCTTCTGATGACTCATAGTAATTCTCTGTGATGGGTCTTGTGAACGAATTTTGCCTTTTTATCAAGTCCTTCTATTCCACTAATCCAAAAATTTTCCCATCATTTTTGGTTTCTTCCTAGTTTTGTATATTTTAGGCAGTTTTGTTTTTAACAGCAGACCCATTGATATTCCTACTAGTTCCACCCTTCTAAAGCATGCCTGGCTTTTTGAAATTTTTTGTCAACTCAAACTTAATGTTTCCTATCTATTTAACCTTCTCTGCTTAGCTCTCTTGCTTGACTGGACTTTAGAAAAAACTTTCATTCTAAAATTGAGATTGGTAAGCGTCTTAGGCCTCCTCTACTAGAGCTAAATCCTCGAAGAAGGTCAGTGCAACTACATAAATGCTCTAGCCATCTGCACTAGTCAAGACCACATTAGTTGAAGTTGTTGCCGGTAGATCCTTATGGTCTTTAGCTGGAACTGTGCACATCATATTCGGAAAACAAAACTAATTATATTAGAGTTATGGCATCTTACTTCAGAAACTTAGCTTGGAAATGCAATACTCGGTTTGTCAATGTCTGGCGCCCTTGATAATATTTGAGGATTAAATATGGTCGCTTGATCTTGCTTAGCCTTGTCAATAGCACTCTGTAGATCTTCATTAGAAGCCCCAATTAAGCAGAAATAGTCAACGAGAGTAGCATATTTACTATCATATTATTCCAAAGCCTTTTTAAAAGTAATACTAAGTTGTGGTTGCTAAGCACTTTAGATCTAACTAGTAATGCTGGATGATTATTGATTTTGCCCTTTTCTCATTAATATTATTAAATTGAGAATAAATAACTTGGATCTTTATACCTCAGAATTATTTCAATCACTTGGGGTTTTGGGGTTTTGGGGTTTTGGGGTTTTGGGG